TTAGAACTTTCCTTTTGTATTGCCTTCAAGGTCTCATTTCTTCTTTTAGATCTCCTGATTGTAGCAAATCTTGATTCTTTGACGATACCTTTGATTTATAGAAATACTGAAAAGTTACTCGGAACCAAGTCTGCTGAATCAGGTAGATGACCAAGCTAGGAAAAACTGATGCGGGGAACAGGAGGAGTAATTCCGAAGTGACCACAAATGATAGGTTTTTGTTTTTAAAATTGTATCTAAAAGGGAGTATTAAAAGAAGTATACTGGCTGGTCGCGGTGGCTCACACCTGTAATCCCAGCACTTTGGGAGGCCGAGGCCGGTGGATCATGAGGTTAGGAGATCGAGACCATCCTGGTTAACACGGTAAAATCCCATCTCTACTAAAAATACAAAAAATTAGCTGGGCGTGGTGGCAAGCGCCTGTAATCCCAGCTACTCAGGAGGCTGAAGCAGGAGAATGGCGTGAACCCAGGAGGCGGAGGTTGCAGTGAGCCGAGATCGCACCACTGCACTCCAGCCTGGGCAACAGAGCGAGACTCCGTCTCAAAAAAAAAAGTGTACTAAAAACAGCTGGGCTGTGGCAACATTATTAGAACATGTATATAACCTCCCAAGGGGACTTCTTTGGTAATGTAATACTTCCATTGTGTGAACTAAGAAGTCAGTTTTTGTAGCTTTCATAGTTACACCTGATAAAACTGAAAATTAGTTTCCCGTCTCAATGCAGATGTTAAATACCTGACAATGACAGTCTCAGTTTATTCCATAAAACCGAGAGACACCTGGGGATGGTTTTATCTTGTCAAACTTGGGACAACAGATTTCAGCCTTGTTATTGGTCATGTAATACTAGCTTTGTTTTCTGGTCATTTAATACCAAAAAGAAGGTAAGCTAGCCAGGAAAAAAATGTTAGCTTAAATGTAGTGCCAGAGGATAGAAAAAAACTATTTCTGTATAGCAAAAGAAAAAGAATAGGTGCCAAATCTCAAATATTCTTGAGTTGATAGTTTTCATCTCTCTGGTTATAACTCACTTAATATTTTATCATGGTTTGAGTTTATTTGTTTGTTTGGTAGAGATAGGGTCTCCATATGTTGCCCAGACTAGTCTTGAACTCCTGGGCTCGGGCAGTCCTCCAGTCTCAGCCTCCCAGAGTGCTGGGATTGCAGGCGTGAGACACTGCACCTGGCCCATTTGTTTTTTCTTTTTCTTGGTTTTTTTTTTTTTCCTGCTCTTGTTTGTTTATTAGGTTTAGGGACATGAGCTGGGCCTCAGCCAGTGGCCCGTCGCCTGTTTTTATTTTGAATTTGAGATACCTTTCTCATCTTTGTTTCTTCCCTCCCCCCACCAAGAAGGACCCTTACTCTGTCACCCAGGCTGGAGTACAGTGGCGCCATCTCAACTCAGTGCAACCTCTGCCTCCCCGGTTCAAGCAATTCTGCCTGCCTCAGCCTCCTGAGTAACTGGGATTACGGGCACCTACCACCAGGCACAGCTAATTTTTTTTGTATTTTCAGTAGAGGTGGGGTTTCACCATATTGGCCAGGCTGGTCTCAAACTCCTGACCTCAGCCTCCCAAAGTGCTGGGATTACAGGCGTGACCCACCGTGCCCAGCCTCCCATATTTTTTTGTCCTTTTTATTGTCTCCTATTTTCTTTTCACTTCTCACAAAGCCTGTAGTTTCGGAATTTATTTTGGGAATGGTTAGAGTAGCAATATTCGTTTTTTGTTTTTTTGTTTTTTGTGGTTTGAATGAGGCAACATCTTGGAGGAGACATAAGACTAGCATTCACTAAAGATGATATAACTTCTTTGTATTTTTCTTTGAAAAGGAAATTTTTTTAAAACTTTTATTTTAAGTTCATGGGTACATGTACAGGTTTGCTATGTAGATAAATGTGTGTCAAGGGGGTTTGTCGAACAGATTATTTGATCACCTAGATACTAAGCCTAGTAGACTGGTACCCATTCGTTATTTTTCCTGGTCCGCTGCCTCCTCCCACCCTCCAATAGGCCCCAGTGTCTGCTGTTCCCCTCTATGTGTCCATTTGTTCTTATCATTTAGCTCCCACTTATAAGTGAGAACATGTGGTATTCGGTTTTCTGAGGAAATACTGTTTAACTTGAGAAAATTGGATTGGGTTTTAAACCATTGTTTATGTTTTTTAAAAAATTGAATAAGAATATATATGTAGAAATATTATCTCCTGCAATTTTTGAATTATTTGCTATCTTAAAATTGTAAAAGGTAAAATTTTCTTTTTTTTCTTTTTTTCTTTTTTTTTTGAGACGGAATCTTGCTCTGTCGCCCAGGCTGGAGTGCAGTGGCGCAGTCTCGGCTCACTGCAACCTCTGCCTCCTGGGTTCAAGCGATTCTTGTGCCTCAGCCTCCCGAGTAGCTGGGACTACAGGCATGCATCACCATGCCCAGCTAATTTTTGTATTTTTTTAGTAGAGACGGGATTTCCCCATGTGGACTAGTCTGGTCTCAAACTCCTGACCTCAGGCGATCTCCCTGCCTCAGCCTCCCAAAGTACTGGGATTACAGGCGTGAGCCACTGCGCCTAGCTGAAAGGCAAAATTTTCTGTTAGACCCTCCAGAGCTCTTAACAGTGATTTTTTTTTTCTTTCCTCTTCTAACATGATAAAGTATCCAGCAAAGTGGTTCTTGCTTTTGGGTTTGAGATGGGGTCTCACTCAGTCACCCAGGCTGAAGTGCAGGGGCACCATCATGGCTCACTGCAGCCTCGACCTCCTGAGGTCAAGCTATCCTCCTACTTCAGCCTCCCAAGTAGCTGGGACCACAGGTGCAAGCCACCACACCCGGCTAATTTTTGTGTTTTTTGTAGAGATGGAGTTTTGCCATATTGCTGAGGCTAGTCTTGAACTCCTGGGCTCAAGCAATCCACCGGCCTCGACCTCTCAAAGTGCTAGGATTACAGATGTGAGCCACCATGCTCAGCCAGCAAAGCGAATTTTTTTTTTTTTTTTTGAGATGGAGTCTGGCTCTGTCGCCCAGGCTGGAGTGCAGTGGCGCAATCTCCGCTCACTGCAAGCTCCGCCTCCGAGGTTCACACCATTCTCCTGCCTCAGCCTCCCCAGTAGCTGGGACTACAGTCGCCTGCCACCACGCTCGGCTAACTTTTTATGTTTTTAGTAGAGATAGGGTTTCATCGTGTTAGCCAGGATGGTCTCGATCTCCTGACCTCATGATCCACCCACCTCGGCCTCCCAAAGTGCTGGGATTACAGGCGTGAGCCACCGCGCCCAGCCCAAAGCAATTTTTAAATTGCTTTGTATGTTGACTGGGCACGGTGCCTCACACCTGTAATCCCAGCACTTTGGGAAGCCAAGGCAGGCGATTACTTGAGGTCAGGAGTTCAAAACCATCCACGCCAATATAGCAAAACCCCGTCTCTACTAAAAGTACAAAAATTAGCTGGGCATGTTGGCACACACACCTGTAGTCCTAGCTACTCAGCAGGCTGAGGCACAAGAATCACATGAGCCTGGGAGATGGAGATTGCAGTGAGCTGAGATCATACCACTGTACTCCAGCCTGGGTGACAGAGCGAGACTCTGTCATCAAAAAAAAAAGAAAAAAGAAAAAAAAATCTGTATTTTCTGGCTACTCCAAATTGGTCTAGAAGTTTAGTTTTAGAGATGAAACGCAAATTTAAAAAATCATGTTTGTTATATATAATTCACCACAATTTTTATTTTTATTTTATCTTATTTTTGAGACATAGTGTCCTCTCTGTCATGCAGGCCAGAGTGCAGTGACATGATTCAACTCTCTGCAGCCTCCACCTCCCAGGCTCAAGTGATCCTCCCACCATAGCTAGGACCATAGATACGTGCCACCACACCCAGCTAATTTTTGCATTTTTTGTAGAGGTCAGGGGTTTTCGCCCATGTTGCCTAGGCTGGTCTCAAACTCCTCAACTCCTCAAATCCCTCTAACCAGCTTGGCCCTCCCAAAGTGCTGGGATTACAGGAGTGAGCCACCACGCCTGGCCCACAATTATTTTTTATATGATTTTTTTTTTCTTGTAGATAAGGAGTCTCGCCATGTTGCCCAGCTGGTCTAAAACTCCTGATTCTCAAGCTATCCCTCCACAGTGCTAGCATTAGGCTGGGCACGGTGGGCTCACGCTGTAATCTAGCACTTTGGGAGGCTGAGGTGGGCGGGATCACCTGAGTTCAGGACTTCGAGAACAGCGCTGCCAACATGGCAAACCCTGTCTCTACTAAAATACAAAAATTAGCTGGTAATGGTGGCATGCACCTGTAATCACAGCTACTTGGGAGGCTGAGGCAGGAGAATCACTTGAACCCAGGAGGCCAGAGGTTGCAGTGAGCCGAGGTTGCACCACTGCATTCCTGCCTGGGCAACAGAGTGAGGACCCAGTCTCAAAAAAAAAAAAAAAAGTGTGGAATTATAGGCATGAGCCACCATGCTCATCCCATAATTAAAAAGAAAAAAGAAATCTGGAATGCGGGCAAAGTGGCTCACATCTATCATCCCAGTGCTTTGGGATGCAGAGGCAGGACATCCTTTGCAGCAGGGGAGGGGGCTCACATCCATAATCTGAGCATTTAGGAGGCTGGAGTGGGCAGATTGCTTGAGACAAAGCATAAAAGACCAGCCTGGACAACATGGCAAAACCCCATCTCTACAAAAAAAAAACACAAAAATGTTTCTGGCATCGTGGCACTTGCCTGTAGTCCTAGCTACTCAGGAGGCAAAGGTGGGAGGATCTTCTGAGTGCGGGAGGTTGAGGTTGCAGTGACCCAAGATTGTGCCAGTGCACTCCAGCCTGGGTGACAGAGTGAGACTCTGTCTCAAAACCTTAAAAAAAAAAAAGAAGAAAATGGTTATTTCTCAGGGCTACGTTTTCATTTATCAAATCTCATTTACCAGAATTTGTGCTAGGGTCTTTTAGCGGGTGTATGTGAGTGCTGTGTCATGTGTCACTGGTTTCTCTACTTCAAAGACTGAACATTCTTCACGATCTGAAAGGAAAAGAAGAGATTCTTTCGGGATGTTTGACGGTTATGATAGCTGCAGTGAGGACACAAGCAGCAGCTCCAGCTCCGAAGAGAGTGAGGAAGAAGTCGCTCCTTTACCTTCTAATCTCCCGATTATCAAAAACAATGGCCAAGTCTACACATACCCAGATGGTAAATCTGGCATGGGTGAGTATTTATAACCTTCACCTGTTCTACAGCTTTATGTTTAAGGGTGTGTTTTTATTTGGTTTCTTCTGTCATTTCCCCTTCCTTAGAATTGTTAAGGGGCAGTTTGAAGAGCTGACGTTTATAGTTCGAGATAAGATCACTGAGTTGGTGTTTAACTCTATTTTGCCTACCTCCCAGTAGAAAGCAAATAAAACAAAATAAAAAACGAAAGGCCAGTGAGAAACTTCATGTGGACATAAATTTAGTAGTTAGATAAGAAATGCCTCTGTAACTGAAAGTAAAAGTGCATAGGATCATAGGCTTATATAGTTGAAAGAGACATTCAAGGTTGGGCTCCCTCTTCTGTATTAATTTCTTATAATTTCTGTTTTAACATAACTGGTGATTGGGTATTCTCTGACACAGTAAGGAATTTCTTTCTGCCTAAAGTCTGGCTTGAAAAAGAAAAAGGAAATGAAAAAGGAAGCAGTTTCATTTCTAAGTATCTCAAATTACTAGAATAGTCTCTTTATTGAACCAAAATTTCCTTCCTCCAACTTTTATCTTTTGGTCTTAGTTTCACCTTTTTAACTTTGCTTCTGGGAGTCTGGAAAGTTTTGCTTTTTAAAGTTACACAGCATAATTCTAATCCTGGTTCTAATGACATCTCTTTTCTCCACAATGGAACCCTTCGTTCTAGTTTATCTCTAAGGCATACCAAGGAGCCATAGTTGCTTCAACCATTTCTCTCATGATGTATCCCAGTGATTTAGTTCTTGGATATCCTGGTCGCTCTGTTCTGGGGATACTACCTCAGATTATGTGGTAGTAGGGTAACAAGTCATCCTGATTTGCCTGGAACTGTCCTGGTTTTACCATTGAAAGTCCCACATCCTGGAAATGTGGGAATGAAACAAATGGTCACCCTGTGTGAGGCCAGAAGATAGTTCAACCTTTATCTCCCCTTTTCAAGACACTGTTTCCATTCTTGCCACCAAAATTGCTTTAGCTTTCTTGATAATGATAATGAACTTGTAAATAACTGATGTCCTTTGACCTTTACCACATAAACTAACCCAGTTTAAACCAGTCTTCTCACAGTTAACTTTTTAAACCCACAATGTAGGACTGTGGATCTCTCAATATAACGTTTTTCTTACTAACTTTCAGTCTTAGAAATTTTTGTTGTTGTTGTTGTTGTTGTGACAGTCTCACTCTGTTGCCCAAGCTGGAGTGCAGTGGTGCAATCTCGGCTCACTGTAGCCTCCGCCTCCCGGGTTCAAGCAATTCTGCCTCAGCCTCCCAAGTAGCTGGGACTACAGGCCTGCGCCACCATGCCTGGCATATTTTCATATTTTTAGTAAAGATAGGGTTTCACCATATTGGCCAGGCTGGTCTCAAACTCCTGACTTTAAGCGATCTGCCTGCCTTGGCCTCTCAAAGTGCTGGGATTACAGGGATGAGCCACCACATCCAACCTTTTTTTTTTTTTTTTGAGACAGTCTTGCTCTATTACCCAGGCTGGAATGCAGCAGCAAGATCTCGGCTCACTGCAATCTCTGCTCCCGAGCTCAGGTGATCCTCTCACCTAACCCTCTCAAGTACTATAGACACATGCTACCACACCTGGCTAACTTTTGTATTTTTCAGAGACGGGCAGTTTTCACCATATTGCCCAGGCTGGTCTCAAACTCCTGAACTCAAGTGATCCATCTGCCTCAGCCTTCCAAAGTGCTGGAATTACAAGTGTGAGCCCCTGCACCCTGCCCAGTCTTAGAAATTTTTGATTGCTAATTCTGTCATCTAATATTGAATGCTGTGTCATCTAATCTTCCAGTTTTATATCATTTACAGTTTTGATAATTCTGCCCTGTTGGTCCTATTCTAGTCTTTTGGTTAAAAAGTTGAATAGCATGGCCAGGTGCGGTGACTCACGCCTGTAATCCCAGCACTTTGGGAGGCCGAGGCAGGCAGATCATGAGGTCAGGAGATCAAGACCATCCTGGCTAACACGGTGAAGCCCCATCTCTACTAAAAATACCAAGAATTGGCCAGGCATGGTGGCATGTGCCTGTAGTCCCAGCTACTCGGAAGGCTGAGACAGGAGAATTGCTTGTACCTGGGAGGCGGAGCTTGCAGTGAGCTGAGATCGCACCACTGCACTTCAGCCTGGGCGACAGAGCGAGACTCCATCTCAAAAAAAAAAAAAAAAAAAAAAACCCTACCTGGGTGTCTTCTACTCCAGCTGAAATTTCTCAGTCATGTTGTTGGAGCTACATGAGATTTTATCAAATGTGTTAGCTCCTGTTAGTGTATATTCTTGCCGTGGTTTTATTATAACATACCAGCCTAGTAATCCCATCATAAAAGGAAATAGCATTTGTTGAAGCTTTGCGTGTGCTAGCGTCTGTTTTAAATACCAGAGATAGCAGATGAACAACACAGAATAAGTTTCCTGTCCTGATGGAACTTGCATCCTACTTGTGAGAATTCTAGTTTGACATGTATAATTTCTGGCAAAGATTCGCTGTTTCCTTGGGATCACAACTTTTCTATCTAGGTGTTCAGAACGTTCTTTAACAATCTGTTCTAGAATTTTTGCAACAGAAAACCATTTAGTTTTTTCTCCCAGTAGATACCCTTTGTTCACCTGCAATCTTCTGGCACTTTTATCTTTTTTCCATGATTTCTTATAGATTTGTAAGTAATTACAGTTGTCCCCTGGTATCCATGGGGGATTGGTTGCAAGACTTCCCTCAGATACCAAAATTCACAAATGCTCAAGTTCCTTATATAAAATGGTGTGGTATTTACATATAACTTATGCACATCCGTCCATATACTTTAAATCATGTCTAGATTACTTATAGCTAATACAGTGTAAATGCCATGCAAATAATTGTTAATACTATACTGTTTAGAGAACAATAAGAAAAAAAACAGTCTGTATATGTTCAGTACAGATACAATTTTTTTTTCCTGAAATATTTTCAATCCACTTTTAGTTGAATCCACAGATACAGAACCCATGGAAGCACAGAGCCAACTGTACCAGTTAAACTGCAGGCCTCTCCAGTTTACCTGTTTGGGTGGAGGCTTTAACTCACTAAGGCAGTTATTTGCTATGTTACTTTTTGTTTATCTTTTTTAAACTTCAGTTCTTGTGAACCTTGTTCTAATTCTACATTTCAGATTATTGTCTATTATGCAATAGTAAGTAGCCAAGAGTTCTGCTGTCCCACTATCACTGGTTAATAATAGAGCACCTACGTCAAACTTGTTTGGTTTTTTTTGTTGTTGTTTTTTTTGTTTTTTTTTTTTTGACTCAGGATCTCCTTCTGTTGTCCAGGCTAGAGTGCAGTGGTGTGATCATAGCTCACTTTAACCCTGAACTCCTGGACTTAAGCAATCCTCCTGCCTCAGCCTCCTGAATAGCTGAGACTACAGGTGTGTGCCACCATGCCCGGCTCTTTTTTATTTTTATTTTTTGAAGAGACTAGATCTTGCTCTCTTGCCCAGGCTGGTCCCATCCTCCTGGCCTTGAGCCAGTTATCCTGCCTCGACCTCCCACAGTTCTGGGATTACCGGCATGAGTCACTGCACCTGGCCTCTACCTCAAACTTTGAACCCATTCCTCTTTTCTTGTCCCCCAAACATAACTTGAAGGAATCTTCATATAGCTCTTAGCATTTTTCCAAGTATTACCTCTTTTTAAGTTTCAACCTTTGCAGTATTTTAAAGGCCTCTGTTATACTTTGTTATTAATCTTCAATTGTGTGGCACTTTTCATCTTTCATGTGTAATCATTTCAAAAGCTGGAATTTGTTGTATATGAAAATGCCTGGTACATGGTAAGCACTAAGGAAATGTCGGTTGAATCCAGCGTATCTGCCCTGTTTCTGTTGACCCTTTGCAAAGCCTTTCAGACCTCAAGCTACTATCAGACCTTCTAGAACCCATCACCATGGCACAATACCAGTGTTCTCTCTGACTTCTCTGTGCAGGCTTCTTTATCATTTGTATAGGAGATAGAAGAAATGTTCAAGGCAAATTTGTAAATTAAAACTTTCAGATGGCAGGATAAATTATTTAAACTGTTAGATGAAGATTGCTTTTATTATATCATAATGCCAGTGTTTTTATTTTGTTAATTAGCTACCTGTGAGATGTGTGGGATGGTTGGCGTCAGAGATGCTTTTTACTCTAAAACAAAGCGTTTCTGTAGCGTTTCATGTTCAAGAAGTTACTCGTCAAACTCCAAGAAGGCAAGCATTTTGGCCAGACTTCAGGTAACGGTACAGAAACCTTCTTACTTATATCTGTTATTTCTATGGCTTTCACCATTTATCTGTCATTTGACTGTGATTCGCTGCACTTCACCTCTGCCCACTCAGTTACTGTTTTATACCCACATCTTGAGGAAACATGTGAGCCCCAAACTTTGTTCAGCCTATAAAATTGGAAAACTATTTTAAATGGATAAGACATACTATCCAAAATAAATGATTATTTGCATAAGTTAATTAAAATATCCTTTTTCCAAGTAAGTATAAACACTTTTTTATATACAGAAATCGAAGACATTTTCCTGTTTCCCTTTGTTTCCTTTTGTGTTAACATCAAGGTAGAATCTTTCATCATTTAGGGGGAAATAATTTAATCTCTGGTTTTATTTTCTCATCTCCTCGCTTTGTACTTTTTAGTACAATCCATTTGATACCTTGACCAAATGTATTTGGTTAATCCAACTAACCTTTTTGACAACGCTCATGGTATGGAAAGAAAATCGTCTTGCTTTAAATGTACATCAGTGCCTACAAAATGACTGGAGACTTGACCGTTTGACTAAGTTCTTACTATTGTATCATGTAAACAACTTTTTAAAGGCATTAACTTAACTGATTTTTGCAGTATTTTTATTGGATGATCACAGTGTTCTCATTTAATTTATTATTGTGATCATTATATAGCACTGAAAGGGTTATTTAAATCCTCCAAATTAAGGAAATACATCACTTAGATGTATTTCTATATTTCAGATAGACAGTACCTAAAGATCCTGAGCAGTGGTCTGTACCCAAATGGATGGCAGTTTGTCACACTGTGAATTTGGCCCATGATCATTTTGTCATTGATCTTTTGCGTTAGCACTAAAGGTATAAACCTCAGTCACTTGCTCTTTGAACATTAAATTATCTTCTCTTACCATATAAATAGCAATGCTTGGCAACCTGCATGAGTAAATAACCACTGGTTCTATCTACTATAAGAAGGAATCAAGTATCCACCACAGCCTATATTTTAACATCTTGTGGGATATAATTTTTTATTAACATATTAATTTGCGTATTGCTGTTGTAGTCTATGCCAGCTCTGCTACCCATATTAGATAACTACATTGTAGCAGAACTCCAGAAAAAAATTTTCATGTTAAAATTCTTGTATGTTTCCTCTGCTTTAATAATTTTCTAAACCCTCAATGTTTACTGAAGCAGAATGTGTAGTATGCAGTCCAGTTAAATTGTGGTGGTGGGGGATGAAAAAGAATCCTATTTACTTAACTTTTCTTGTTTTAGGGTAAGCCTCCAACAAAGAAAGCGAAAGTTCTTCAGAAGCAACCTTTAGTTGCTAAGCTAGCCGCATATGCTCAGTATCAAGCTACCTTGCAAAATCAAGCAAAGACAAAAGCAGGTAATATTGGTGAATCTGACAGAGATGAAATATTTGATATTGATTCGTTTAGTTTTAATTAATTTTGTAATTAATTAAATTGTAATTTTGAATTCTGTTTAAGCTGTTTCTATGTCCTGTTTAGCACATTACGGCTCTAAGCTTCCTAATGGTTGTTTAGATTTTAGTAAATTACTCTAGAAGATTATAGTTGCATGCATAAGTTCAGGTGCTTTTGGCAATCTCCTTAATGTTTTTGTTTGGTTTATTATTTACTTTTCATGTACTGATTCTCTGAATTGCGAAGATATTAGGCAAAGAAATAGGACATTCAGCAGGCTTCAAAGGGATTGTGAGAAGAGGAGTAGTAAGAGGAAGAGATTAAGGAAAGGATCATTTCTAATAAGAGGTTTTTTTTGGTTGGTTTTTTTTTTTTTTTTTGGATTTTTTTTTTTTGGAGACAGAGTCTTGCTTTGTCACCCAGGCTAGAGTCCAGTGACGTGATCTCGGCTCACTGTAACCTCTGCCTCATGGGTACAAACAGTTCTCATGTCTCAACCTCCCTAGTAGCTGAGACTACAGGTGCACACAACCACACTCGGCTTATTTTTGTATTTTTAGTGAAGATGGGGTTTCACCATGTTGACCAGGCTGGTCTAGAACTCCAGACCTCAAATGATCCACCCACCTCAGCCTGTCAAAGTGCTAGGAATACAGGTGTGAGCCACAGCGCCCAGCCAGAAGATTTTTAATAGAAGTAAATAGAAAGTGAGGCAGTAAGTGAGTAAATAGAAGGGCAATAAGTGAGTAATGAGGAGAGCAATAAGAGAGTAAATAGTGAGAAGGTCAACAAGTGAGTAAATAGAAGAGGCAATGAGTGAGTAAATAGAAGTAAATAGAAAGTGAGGTAATTAAAAGTGATATGGGGTAGGTATCTCACTGAGGTACATGGCAAGAACTGAATGGAAATAAAAACACAAAAGCAGCCACAGCAGTGTTTGTCATTCTGTACACTTCTCTCAACTTCTCTTTGCTCCCCTTAACTGAAGAGCTTGTACCTCACTTCCTCAGGAGCATGTGTCATGTATAGAACAGTTAAGAAACTCCTGGCCAGGCGTGGTGGCTCATACCTGTAATCCCAGCACGTTGGGAGGCCAAGGCAGGTGGATCAGGAGATCACGAGTTCAAGACCAGCCTGGCCAATATGGTGAAACCCCATCTCTACTAAAAATGCAAAAATTAGCTGGGTGTGGTGGCACGCACCTGTAGTCCCAGATGTTCAGGAGGCTGAGGCAGGAGAATCACTTGAACCTGGGAATCAGAAGTTCCAGTGAACCGAGATTGCGCCACTGCTCTCCAGCCTGGGTGACAGAGGGAGACTCAGTCAAAAAAAAAAAAAAAAAAAAGAAACTCCTGTTTGTTTGCAAATATGATATAAGCCAAAGCTCATGCTATTTAGAGAAGTTATTTGATCTTAAAGAAAACGTTCTTTAAATGGGATAAATTAATTTTATGTCCTTTCACACATTTTAACCGTGATAACCTTCTTATAAATAAAAGATGTGAGAATTGTAATATACGTAAATTTGTTTGATTTTAGCAGTCTCCATGGAAGGTTTCAGCTGGGGTAACTACATCAATAGCAATAGCTTTATAGCCGCGCCAGTTACCTGTTTTAAACATGTAAGTACAGAATTTCTCACCTTATTTTGAAGTACTTAGTCATTGTTTAAATCTAAAGGTACAATAACACCTAAGCATCTTATCCTTAGAAGGTGTTTGTTTTTATGCCTTGTAATTGAAATCCTTCTTTTATTATTATACTTAATAATAGTTAAAAAGAACTTACGTAAGTTTTGTAAGTACAAGTTTCCTATAAAGAAATTGCAGTTTGAAGTTATTTTAAACGGGGAGAAGTACTAGTCTTCTAAGTACTAATTTTCTTTTATAATATATTTGTTTTTTAAATTTTTTGGTAAAGATATGGTCTCGCTATGTTGCCCAGGCTGGTGTCAAACTCCTGGCATCAAGCAGTCCTCCCACCTTTGCCTCCCAAAATGCTGGGATTACAAGTATGAGCCACCATACCCAGCCTCATCAGATGTTCATATTAAGTTGAACTGCTACTTTGTCCAGGCACAGTGGCTCAACTGTATTCCTAGCAACTTGGAAGAATGAGGCAGGAGGATCACTTGAGGCCAGGAGTTCAAGACCATCCTGGGCTACATAGTGAGACTTCTTTTCTACAAAAAATAAAAGTAAGTGAAATTGCTAGTATTGTGTATCAAAAATATGCATATTGACAGTGTCATACGATTTGACCTAACGGAAACCATTCATTGTGTATGTTACTTAAATCTGCAGTTTGACCTGATAATTCAGAAGAGGAAGGATCTTTTTCTAATTTTTTTGTCTCCAAATGTTAAGTCACAAAACAAGGAACTATTAGTTACATAGTATTGTGAGCTGAAATATGTGCTGTATATATATCGTGAGAAACCCTTTAAAAGGTTTTCTTTTCAGCAAGTGGATTGTTACAGAGCATTTAAAATAATTTAGAATTGTGTTTAAAATATATCTGATGGCAAGTTCTTTCCTTTTGATTTATTCCTTTAGATTTGATTAATTCTCTCCAATACTTTTTTAACCTGACTACAACTTTAATTAATACTTAAAGATCCTTTCTGCTGCTATCCGTGTTTAAGAAGAAAAGAGAATTTAGAAAATACATGAACTTTGGTTTGCGCTTAACATTTTGTTAATTTAGGGCTTTAGGCCAGGCACGGTGGCTCCCAGAACTTTGGGAGACCGAAGCGGGCGGATCACCTGAGGTCAGCAGTTCAAGACCAGCCTGGCCAACATGGCGAAACCCCGTTTCTACTAAAAATACAAAAATTAGCCAGGGGTGATGGTGGGCGCCTGTAATCCCAGCTACTCGAGAGGCTGAGGCACGAGAATCACTTGAACCCAGGAGGCAGAGGTTGCAGTGAGCCAAGATTGCGTCACTGCACTCCAGCCTAGGCAATAGAGCGAGACTCAGTCTTAAAAAAGAAAAGAAAAAAAAAATTAAGGCTTTATTTTTAGATAACAGCATGTGAACAAAACTGAGCTTAGGTTCCTGTTGTAGAAATCTGAGTGAATTTTCACTCATTCATGGCCTTAGTAAAGGAGTTTGATCAAAGTCAAGTATATTAATTTGCTGATTCTCATTCTTGAAAATATAATATGAAGCCCTTAGTCAGTGACATCTTGCCTTAAATGGCATCTTATTTCTGTGTAAAGTAGGTGATTTATTTTGCTGTAATGTTGATAATAGTGTCATATTTGTAAGAAATATTCCATACACAGCAATGGCAGTTTTAAAGAGAGATCTTTAAAAAGAAAATCTTTAACTCTCTTCTCTTGGTATATTACTTTCCTGAAGGTCAGAAAGTTCTCAGTTACAGTAACTCTTTCATCTCAGATTCCTGAAACATTTGTCCGTTGTCTCCTTCTGAATGGCCTTTCTCTCTCTTTGTATCTATTTTTGTGTTATAAACCATATAAAACTGTTTTCTGTAAGTAGTCAGGGTATTAAAAAGAATAGCATTTCAACCCCAGAAGCATATTTTATTTTCTGTCCAAATCTTTGAATTGTTATACTGTTATATTAAAGTTATTTATGAGAAAATCTCTGTGGTAGTAATGAACTTGATTGACTTTGTTCAACTCTGCCTTTTTTGAGATTGAAAGGTTCTTTCATAGGGGATCGAGCAGCTAACCTCACCACACAATTAATGATAAGAATGTGGAGCCTCTGCTTTCTCAGTCAGAAGTGAGGCATCTGTTTCTCAATTATGTAGACCCAGTGTCTTCCTGTTCCATTTACCTCTGTTTACTGCCTTCTCCTTATCAAACAGGAAAAATGTGTCTTAGTAATTCCTCGGTATGTTTTTGTACAAAGAACTTGCTCTCTTACCTTAACCGGCATATTCATTTGAAGCCATTTGGTTAAGGGGGCCATACCTCATGCTGCACTTGATTTTGTCCTTTAGAGTTGACTCCTGCTGGTTGTCCCCTCCGAGACAGTTTTCTGGGTCTCTAAGGAGAGTTACTAGCTTTGTCTTTAGAAAACCTATAGTCAGGAGCTAAGAGTACAAGATCCTGCCTTGTATCATCAAAGTCTTCTAAGACTTGACACTTGCTCTGAAACTGGTTTATTAGACAGGAAGGCCTCTTTGTTCCAGACTCTACACCTGCCTTCTCTTCTACTTGAGTACAAGTTGGGAGCTTTTCCTGCTCCTAGGGGATTATCTTTCAAGCACAGTTTACGAAAGAACACCCAGCAAGTAACATGTAACACGGAAGCGGAGCTGTCGTGATTGCATCAGGAATTGGGGTGGGGGCGCTGTCAGAGCCCTGGCTTCTTTAACTTAACCCAACCTCTTCTAGAATAAGAATCCCAGATAAATACTTTCTATTTTCTAGCACTTAGATATTATTGTGATTAGTTCTAAAATCATAGAATTTCAAGAATATGATTCTTTCCATGGTCTGTCTATAAGCTTCTGAGAATGAACTTTCTACAGAGTAGATCATAGGACTATATCCTTTTTGATAATTCCTGTAACTATTCATAGTGTCTTATACTCAGTCACTCAATTACAACAGTATCGTACAATTTTTTTTTTTTTTATAATCAGCAATGGAAATCAAGTCCCAATTGTCATTTAGTATATCTACTTAGGCTGGGCACAATGGCTTACACCTGTAATCCCAACACTTTGGGAGGCCAAGGTAGGAAGATGGCTTGAGGCCAGGAATTTGAGGCCAGCCTGGTCAACATAGCAAGACCCTGTCTCTACAAAAGTGTATGTGTGTGTATATGTGCATATATACATGTGTGTGTATGTGTATATATGTGTGTATGTGTGTATAATATACACACACATATATTTTAGTATAATATACTAAAAAACTGTATATTATGATTGGCTGATATGTTTTTTATTGTATCTAGGGGTTAGTTTTTCAGACCTTTTATTTAAGCATCATAATTGTCCTTTTTTTGTTGTTGTTGTTGTTTTTGCTTGCCATATATTGGGTAAGAAGTCCCCTTTTCTCTAACAAAAATCTTAGACCTCAGAACACAGGATAAGAGGAAACTGCGTTGATTGTTCTGGCAGAGATGGGGTGTTGCTACCAGAGCCTTGGCTCCTGACATTTGAACACCCCATCCTTGACAGTTCCTGAGGCTGGAAACCACTAAATTGGATAATACCACTTTTAATTAATGCTAAATCATATGGTCACAAAGCTAGAAGGCATCTTTAAAATCATTTGGTTCAGCTAGTCCATGTCTTATAAATGAAGAATTCTTGCTACTTTTTTGAGTAGCTGGACTATAATTTTCAGCTTTGGGCTTTAACCCATTTTTCATAATGCAAGTCTTTTTTTTTTTTAATGTGCGTTTTATTTAAGCCCCTAAGAGCAGTATCCATATCTATCCTAATGGTGGAAAAATCTCCAAAATAATAATGCCAGTTAGGTGCAATGTATAGATCAAAGAAATTAACAGATTATTTTCTATTAGTAATTTAACTTTAACCCAGCGGAGCCTTCAGTTGATGTATGTGTATTCAGAACATTTGGCTTTAAAGCACTGTAGCCAAGAGCAATGGCACACACCTGTAATTCCAGCACTTTGGGAGGCCAAGGCAGGAGGATCAGTTGAGCCCTGGAGTTTGAGACCAGTATGGGTAACATAGTGAGACCTCATTTCTACAAAAAAAATTAGCTGGGCATGGTGGCACATGCCTGTAGTCCCAACTACTCAGGAGGCTGAGGGGAGGGATTGCTTGAGCCCAGAAGGTCAGGGCTGCAGTTAGCCATGATCATACCACTACACTCCAGCCTAGGTGACAGAATGAGACACTGTCTCAAAAAATAAATAAAAATAAAGCACTCTTCAGGCCGGGCGCGGTGGCTCATGCCTGTAATCCTAGCACTTTGGGAGGCCGAGGCAGGTGGATCATGAGGTCAGTAGTTTGAGACCAGCCTGACCAACATGGTGAAACCCCGTCTCTACTAAAAATAGAAAAAAAAATTAGCTGGGCGTGGTGGCGGGTGCCACCGTGCAACTTGGGAGGCTGAGGCAGGAGAATTACTTGAAACCGGAAGGCGGAGGTTGCCGTGAACTGAGCTTGCGCCACTGCACTCTAGCCTGGGCAATAAGAGCAAAACTCCGTCTCAAAAATAAATAAATAAAGCACTCTTCATTATTTTTTAATTACTTAAAGACTTTAAATTGAAGTACTTCTATTTCCCATTATTTGCCATGTGAAATCAAGTAAAACTTTTTTTTCCCCTAGGTATTATAGCACGGGCCAAAATGTATAAATGAACATAAAGTCGTCTTTTTTCAGTTATATATTTACAGACTTCAGATTTCTTCTGTTTGGTACCTAAACTAATAATCTCATATCTTACCGATGCTGTCTTTACTTAGATCAGAAATGTTGAAATCATCCCATTTTCTCTCTCATACAGTTGTAGTTTGTAACAAAAAAAAAAAAAGTCCTTTGTACACATATATGCAGAAGCTTTTCAGCTGAGTTTATCATACTTTCTCTTTTCTATTTTTTTTTTTTTTTTTTTTGAGACAGAGTCTCGCTCTTTCACCCAGGCTGGAGTGCAATGGTGTG